ATATATAAAATGCTTCTTTTAAATAAATGATAGAGAGTACTTAGAAAGAAACCTCTAACTACACGAGGTTTGTGGTGTACGTTGCAATGGTATAATTGGTTGCATTCTTAAACAATAATGCAAATATTGGTTTCCCTTCTCCTTTAGTTTGCATTTTGCAATTACATGAAAAAGGAGGAAAAGCTGCTTAAGCAATATAGTCTCTTCTTTACTCAAGTGCCCAAAATAGCACAACAGAATATTATGTCCCAAATGACCCCCAGTATAAATAATTGTACCCTACTATTTAGTGCTTATCCATAATCGGGTCTCCTATACAGTAAAATAATGGATGATTAAGCTGACTGCACTCTGGTTTTAATAGCTTAATTTATGTATTTAGACAATCATGTTGTAGTAAAAACTTTATGGAGGCATGGTGCTAGCATAAATACTGCATTTCACGTATCTGCAGCAGGTAGGAGTGAGCAAGCTCGTGTGCTAGCACAGGTTAGTAAACTGTACATTAAGCTCTGTACCTTTCTCAGATATAATGCAGAGCTCCCAAGAGAGTGACACTGCTGACCAGCAAACGTATTTCTTTGCAGCCCACACGGATGCTGACTTTGCAGGTTATTTCACACAGCAGTACTCACTAGTTGGGTAATACCAGTGTGGTGTTTAAGGTCCTTCTCTGTCATGGTGGAATACATGTGGTACAGGCAGACATGGAAACATGGTGCCATTTCAACCCCTTCTCACAGCAGAACAAAGAGCTGAGTTCCAGGAAAGACACTAAGTGTGAAAATACACACAGACTACAGCTTCCAAGGAATTATAGTCAGTGGTGAACAGTCATTTCATTTTTACCTTCAAAACCATAGTCTACCATATACCAGAATTACCATAGCTAATTCTGCTGGGGACTCCCAGCTGGAATCTCCACACCACAAAATAGAATCACAGACTGGTTTGGGTGGGAAGGGACCTTAAAAGCTCATCCAGTTCCACTAGAGCAGGTTGCTCCAAGCCCCTGTGTCCAACCTGGCCTTGAACACTGCCAGGGATGGGGCAGCCACAGCTTCTCTGGGCACCCTGTGCCAGCACCTCAGCACCCTCACAGGGAAGAGCTTCTGCCTTAGATCTAACCTGAACTTCCCGTTTCAGTTTGAACCCATCACCCCTTGTCCTATCACTGCAGTACCTGACAAAGGTCCCTCTCCAGCACCCTTGTAGCCCCCTTCAGACACTGGAAGCTGCTCTGAGGTCTCCACGCAGCTTCTCATCTCCAGGCTGAGCAGCCCCAATGTTCTCAGCCTGTCTTTGTATGGGAGGTGCTCTATCATCAATTTGTCTGAGGAGGGGCCCAAAGTCCTTCACACAAACATCAACTATAGGTGTCATGCCATGGGATTTGCAGTAACTACTCAACAGGTTATCTGGGACAGGGCTACTTCACACAGACTTCCGATGCATCCTGAGGCTCAGGTGGAATGTACTGAGGACCAACAAGAGTGCCCACCTGAGCAGCCTTATGGTTTTGGAACAACGTGATCTCCACTTGCAGGGTCTGGGCAGAGTAAAGAGCATTTTGGAACTGCTGGATATTGGCACTATTCTTAATTAATTTATAACTTCATGCCTTCCTGCTACGTCAGGTAGAAAAGACAAGCAACTCCTTCATTACAGGAATGAGTTTAGGGAAAAGGAATTCCTGTGTGGTTGTGTGATGTAAGGGCAACTCGTGCTAGTTTGAAATAAGGATTTTTGCATGGTCTACAAGAGTATCAAGCTTAGAAAGATCAGCAAAGGGCTGGGGGTAGGGGCAAGCAAAGGTGGGACAGAGATGGGGAGGACATTCTTTACAGAAGGGGCTGGTCTGTACTCCCCTGATGTGCATTTCTTGTGGATGGTCGAAGTAAAAAGACCTATCCCAAAACACCCTGTGCCCAGTAAGAGATCTTAAATAGACTAAACAACACTGCTCCCTCTTGGAACAGCTCAGTCTATCTTTGGAAGGGTTCATGAAAACCAGAAGGTGAGCTGTTAACTCAAGTACTTCCCAATGCATCAGACAGATGAATTGTTTCCTAGCAGAACATAAGCAATACTGCACCATCCTTCTTGTTGGTACGGAATGCAATAGTTCTGTCCACCATGAATCAGGAATAACATCCTTGGCTTTGAGAGCAAAATGGTTTGCATGCATTAACTGCTGCCCTAAAAGCCAACATATGTATATGATACACTTGCATCAAGGGCTATTGGCTCTGGCTATGAAAGGTTTCTAAGTAAAACCCTCATACAGGTGTTATAAACAGAAAGTCAAGAGAAGGAAAATAGAAGCAGCACCTACTGCAAACACAAGTGGATTTTGTCACTGGAATAGGAAGCATTTCATTCTGTGAAATAGGTCTCTAGAAATAGGAGTACATGAGTCTGAGAGCATTTTCTGGAAGGGGATGGTACCTGGGTATTCACCACCTTGGACCACTGGACATGAGCACAGATACACATCCAAACACACAAACAAGTCTTTCACTGCTTGAAAACTGGAAACTATTGGGTGGAGAAGCCCTTCTTAGTGTTAAGCCTTAGTATGTCCCCCCAAGGGTAGGCTGGGGGAGGTGACACTTCTTTTCTCTTTCTCTTATTTTGTCTCTAAAACCTAAACTCTTGACTGCAGAGTCTGTCTGGAGAGTTTGCAGGAGTTGGATCACGAGGATAATCCAACCAGAGAAGGAACAATATGTCACTTGATCTGAAGCAATCTGTGTAATCACTACTTCCGAAGGCCTTCTCCCCTGTGGAGAATGCAAGTGGCAGGGCACAGGAATGATAACATTTTTGATTCATGAAGGAAAACTTCAGTGAAACATCATTACGTCAAAAGAGATGCTCTAAAGGGCAAGACATCAGCCAGTCTTCCAGCCAAGATCAGAGATGGCAAATCTTCCCCCACGTCACCTGAAACTTGGAATTGCAGCTGCAAAGTTCTTTTAAGTCTAGCATAAGGATTCAGCTTCCTTTACTTAAATAAGGTCACACTGCCTTTAAGTGCAGCACAAAGGCGGTAAGACATGAAAAAGATTTATGGCCTGTACTTTTAGGCATGACATCAGTCTCAGAAGACAGACATCTCTAACTGGGATCACAATTGCCCCCTTAGAGAATTATGTCAGCTGGTAAAGGCAGTAAAGAACATTATTTTGTTTTTATTGAAACAGATTGTAAGGATCCTTATCACAAAAACTACCTTGTCTTGATTCTCCCAAACAGTCCTTATCACTGGCAAGAAGTCTGCTTTGTAGGTAAACTGCCTGTCTAGAATTTGGCTTCCAAACTAAACTTGGGTAGGAGACTGGTAAGAACCTATTTGATGTCCTGCAGCAAACAAGCTTCATTAACAAGAAGGGTGACCACAACTGCTTGAAGACAAGGCAGAACACAGAGATGCAACTGGCTAAGCTTGGATTGTACAAAGCATCATCTATCACCAGAAGGTGACAGGGCTCTTCAGAAGAGTCATGCACCTCAGAAACAGGGGGCTGAACTTCAGCATTTCCTTTTGGTGTGATCAGCAGAAGTGAGAGTCACAGTCTGAGGTGGGTATCTGCACTCAGCTCAAGCAGAACATCTCACAGCAAAGAACTAAGACCAAACTGGTGTCTGCATCTTTAGAGTTCACGCAGTGGTGGAAGTTTCCACTAGAGCACAGGACATGAGTTACTATGACCACAGGAAAACCAGAGCCTTCATCTGGTGGCATAAACCTGAACAGAGTGGTTCCAGAGGAGAGTAACATGTCAAATTAAAGGAAGGGGGAGACAAGAAAACCTCTTCCCTGAGGTAGAACACTTCTTCGTTACACATTTTCAGCGTTGGGAGAAAGGTCCACGGATAAAACAAAACCTCACACGGGTGGCTCAAGCCTGCAACGTAACCTTAGAAGACATTATTGGCGTCTTTTTGGGTTTAGACTGACAAACATGCCAGGAGAGCTGGTGGGTATCAGACATTTTAGACTGCTCTAATGGCAGTCAGGAATCCAGGCCACAGCTCTGGCCACAGCCTGTAAGGCTCGCAGTGATGGCCCTACACAACCATCTGCTGAATGAGAGAGCACAGCGGGAACACCATCTGCCTGGCTGCAAAGGTCCTGGAGCTGAATGACAGAGCTTATACACATCCTAACTGTGAGTGTGCACAGAGATTAGCACTTGACACTGGGAAATAAAGACAGTGAGGCAGGGTATCACAAGGGAGATACAGGTGGGTGTCTTAACGTATGTGGGTAAAAACTCTGCAAGTTAGAAAACTGCCATATTAACCTTGTGTCTCCAAAAATACCATCAAGGCCACCACACTTTCCTGCCATACATTAAGGTAGCATTTTGTTTTCACACGTAGTATCTACAAGATATATAGTGCTGTGTCATCAAAGGGGAATCATTTCAATTGAGCATGACAGAGACAGGCAATTACAGCTGTGCACAGTGCTCACAAACGTGCAGTTCTGGCATGCTAACCACTGAGATACACCAGCTATTAGCACTCAGCACACAACTGAATGAGAAAAAGAACCAAAACCACAGTGAGGTAATTTTAAACCCCAACACAGCAAATCCTACTATAGTAACAACTGGTCTACTCAGAGCAGCAGGCTGCTGGGCATAAATCAGTGTGTATGATCAAAGATGGCTTTAAAGCCAAACTATTCTACTGCAGCGGTTTCTTGAAACAAAGTTATGCCAATTAAACAAAACCTAATATTGCTTCAGACTACAGATCACTGATAACCCTTCCCAAAACCTGCCAGCTACTTATCCAGCAGCAAAAAGTGCTCTGCCATTAAATACATGAGATGAAAAGCAATCTCTGTTATTTTGTCCAGCAAGTGTTCATTATAGTCTGTACCTGGCTGATATGCACAGCAGAAACCTGGGCTGAACACACGGACGAGTGGCTTGGAGAGTTTGGTAGAGATTTGCAGGGTCCAATTGAGAGTTGCTGTTTCTTCCTTGTTGCAACAATCTTCTGAGCAACTAAAGAAAAACAAAGCATACAAGCAGGTCAGTTACAGTACACACTGGAAAATAGAGTGTGTCATAAGAACAAACAATACAAAATAGGGGTTCATTGCCAAAGCTCCAGTGCCTAAAGGGGCTCCAGGAAACCTGGAGAGGGGCTTTGGACAAGGGATGGAGGGACAGGACAAGGGGAATGGCTTGAACCTGCCAGAGGGGAGATTGAGATGAGCTCTTGGGCAGAAGCTCTTCCCTGTGAGGGTGCTGAGGCGCTGGCACAGGGTGCCCAGAGAAGCTGGGGCTGCCCCATCCCTGGCAGTGTTCAAGGCCAGGTTGGACACAGGGGCTTGGAGCACCCTGCTCTAGTGGAAGGTGTCCCTGCCTGTGGCAGGGGTCGGAGCTGGAGGAGCTTTAAGGTCCCTTCCAACACAAACCATTCTGGGATTCTGTGATACACCCAGTTAAGATGACAGATGCTGATTGTCCACAATATCTCCATGTGAGACTCCAGCTCCGTTCTCCACATGGACAAAATTGCCCCAGAACTCTCACTCCACCAGGTGAGCACAAGAGAACCAGTAACATCCCAGCAGAAGGCGAAGAGGCAGGAGTATACAAAAAGCAATACCAGCAATGCTCTAACAAGTCCACATTAACAAAGCTTATGGTAGTATGTACTTTTTGTTCTTCTTTGGGACGTTCTCCTTGCAAACAGAACAGGAAGATGAACAACAACCTAGCTCAAGTGTGTCTCACTGCTGTTTACTAGGACAATCCTGGAAGGTGTCCTGCATCACAGGAGGAAGGTTCATTAGAAAGGCTTCACTCCTGGCCCAAGCAGGTTTAGTTTACTTTTAGAAGGAGTGTACTTTCTGCTGCTGCTGAGGAATAAGGTGAAGTTTCCTTCATTACTGGATACTGCATCAGGACAATCAGTTTTGGAAACCACAAGTTTTAAGCCTTTAGGGTCCCTTCCAATCCAAACCATTGTAGGATACTATTAGTGTAGGAAACAAACACTAACTGGAATAATAAAACCGGTGAAGGCTCCCTGGCATAGAATACCTTGATTAGTGGTGCCTCCCATCCCGTCCCAAAGCAGCATTTATCAAGTGGATACAGGGATCAGAGTCATTAACATCTCTATATACAGCTTTGCAGACTCCTAATAAAGAACGGAACCAGAGCTGATGTGAAATGCAGCAACTTCCCCACCTTTCCTATAATGTTTCCATTAAAAGAAGTGAAGCAATCTCAGAGATTCACTGTGTGATATACTGGAACATCACTTCATTCTGCTGTTCACTGAAGGCCTTTGGAAAGAGCTCTTTTTTGGTGATAAATCCTGAAAAATAAAATCCTTTATATTTGTTGCCTACCTTTTGGCTCACAAATTAGAAAAGCCATCAAACCCCTCAGTGTTGAGAAGCAGAGACTGGTGGAGTGGCTCAGCAAACCCTAACTAAATTTAGCTTCATTGCACGCAGTCATCTCCACGAAGTGAGTGAAGTGCTTCCCGAAACTGGTGCAAAGGAGGCTGTAGTCACTTTGCACTGCCAGAAGCCAGCCAGGGAGGCAGGACAGCAACAAGTATCAGCATCTACTTAAAAAGGCACACAGAAGCTGCTTGTACTGAAACTAACAGCATTCAATCCGTCTGGTTCAGAAAATACAGAAAGCTATTTATGTACGTTCCAAGATTATTTTCCCCAATACACTGTAACACAGGCAGAGATGTGGAGTAGCAGCAGGAGCATACAATTTCTTCTCAAATTAATGTAATTCTAATAATAAACTGGTCTGTGGGTTATGTTTTTCATGTACATGAATGATGGTACGACTATGATTTAGTGAGAATACATTGTATAAAAAATGGCTCATATATATGAAGCAGCAGCTTCATTAGTTACATCCCACCTCCAATAGGCCTCTTATCATCCTGAAAGGATGATATCAATTAATTTATCTTCCCCTGGCATATTGATCATAACCTTCATCAGCTAATCATGTTTAAATTACAGAGGAATATCGTAGCACTCTGTCATTTCAGACCCATTGGTTTATTGATCTGGAGCCTGGAAAGCCATATATTCAAATATTTTAAAAGACATTAGTGACTGCAGAGAGCAAACCAAAGGTCAGGTTTTAACATATGCACATGGATTTGTTTTCATCATACACGGTAAAGACCTAAATTAAGACCAAAACTGAATTAAAACCCACACGTGAATGAAAACTACTTTCTCAGCAAACGTGTCCACTCTCTCATGGGAGAGGTAATTAGTCAAGGGAAATATTTACCTCCTTCCACATCTGAATATAGGAGTGTTTGGAGCATCACGTTAACACATATAAAGAAGTCTTGCCAAATTATCACTTTAGGAAGGCACAAGGTAAATAAAACTAAGAGAGGCTGAGCCCACCTATTCACACAAGGGGAGCGCTGGCCGAGTACTACAACACAATAAATACATTTTCAAAGGCAAAAGGAAAGAGTACAAATTGTTACTCTAGAAATAGGAATCCTCATGTGTGGACTACTCTTATCCACAAAGCGGCTGCGAACGGAACCTTACACACAGCGGCACCAAGGGTAATTTATCCTGCGCGCTGTAGAACAGGTCAAATTGCAGCCCAAGATCTAATGTTACCTACTCAAAGTTGTGCTACACGTTCTCAAACAGCCCATTCCCTCGAGCAGAAAAAATCATGTGTCCCCTTTTAACGGGAATCCCCTTTTGAGCTGCCATACCTTCCCAATTCCCTCTCCGTTTCGGCCACAAGTCTAACATCGTACTCCTTCACCACTTCCCATGGCCAGGAAGGTGTTCAGCCATATCCAGGACAGCAGGGCTCCATCATGCATAATGGAGACTTGGGAACACAAACACCATCACTCCACATGCCCCCCTTTTCCCTTTCCCCCAGCTTTACACGCTGAAGGTGATGCCCTATGGTGTGGGGTATCACTTGGGTCAGTTGGGGTCAGCTATCCCGGCTGTGTCCCCTTCCCAACTCTTTGTGCACACCCAGCCTCATCACCGGTGGGGTGGTGTGAGGAGCAGAAAAGACCCAGGCTCTGTGTAAGCTCTGCTCAGCAAGAATGAGAACAACCCTGAATTACCAACACTGTTTCCAGCACAAATCCTAAACACAGCCCCATTCTACCTACCCCATACATACATACATAACTCTACCTCGGCCAAAAGCAGCAGAAGCATGTATCTCCTCAACTGATCTCATAGGATCCCAGCCTGGTTTGTGTTGGAAGGGACCTCAAAGCTCACCCAGCTCCAACCCCTGCTACGGGCAGGGACACCTTCCACTAGAGCAGGTTGCTCCAAGCCCCTGTGTCTAACCTGGCCTTGAACACTGCCAGGGATGGGGCAGCCACGATCCATTTCTACATCTTCTGTTCCAGAAACGAGTATCTTGAAACACCCCAAACTCCAAATGTCTGGCACTGAAAACCCCAAAGACCTGAAAGTCCTGCTGCTGGCACCTTCAGACACAGGAGTTGGTGAGGAAAAACAACGCAGTTAAATGGTGGTGTAGCAGGAGAGAAACACACCATCACTGTAAGAATTAACATCAGATCCGGAGAGCAGACATGCTGCATTCCTCGTTCAGCCCAAACCCATCTCTGTTACGACGCCTTTGTTAAGACTCAAAGTGATCACTCATTAGCTGCTTAACAGTGGTAGGAAAAACCCTTAAACCAACACATTTTGTTTCCACAGCTACAATCCTCCCCAAGTTCACACTGGATTGATGGGCAGCTTTGTTGTGTATATACAAATATATTTGAAAGCACGAATTGTTTCCAGTGCTGGAAAACATACAGCAATAAATACTGCTCTTCAGGAGCGCCTGACGCAAGCTGTGGCCGTACCTAAACATCTTTCTGCTGTTAATGACAGCCAACTCTTGTACTTCATTAACCAACTAAGGGCTACTCAAGAGTCAAAATTGTCAGATTAATATTGAAGTGCCTGTAATTGAAATGTCAGGCCAGAGGAAGCTCCACAATTAAAACAAACGTGAGGCTATACAGTGAGCAGAGAATGCAGGAAAGCAGAAATATTTCTGCCCAGAGCTTTCAGGTTCCATCTCATCCCTAAGATGATTCAGTGCTTCTGAATTTCATGTAAACATACTTGCTAAGATAGGTTTCTAAAACAGATGAATACTGACTTAATCAGTGGCAGAGAGCAAAAATAATCAAGATAGTGACAAGCATTTCAACTGTTTTTCTAAATCAATTGCATTCTCTCTACTTTAATATACTCAATTAAGCTATCAAATACAGAGATTTTTATATTAAGCCATCTATCTGTAGCACAAAAAGCTAATCAAAGTTTATTTGCAAAGTCAAGAACTCTTCTGCAAATAAACAGGGACATGCCAAGGATATTTAGAGCCGATATTTAGCAACTATTTGGTCTTTGGCAAAGACCGATGTTTATTTCTTATCCATTTCAACTTCATTTCACAAGCCAGGATGACTACAAGCTACATTTCGCTTTAAGGCCTTGTTAATCCCATGTGAAATTCTTGGTGTGCAGGATGAATAAAAGGTCCAAGTTTGGAGAGAAAGCTCTTGACTTGAATGCCTCTTCTTCCATGCCTGACCTAGCTCACCAAAACAGAATTAACCTTCCCACCCCCTGCCACTTTCATCTCCAGTGCTACTTTTTGTTAGTCAAACCACTCATTCCCAAGCAGCTCCTGCTAACTTCTCCCCGGATTGTTTATTGGAAGGACTTACCCCGGGCTCACAGCCTCTGAGCTGTAAAGCCATGTTCCCACACCCCGGCTCAGCACATCTGCCTGCAAACCACCCCCGTTCCCACTGGCACGTGGGGAAGATTACCTGGCGGCTAAGTTTCGCCTAACACAGCTCCTGTCCCACGCTCCACCGCGTGGGGCTGACAAGGAGAAGCCTGAATCCACTTGTGGGAGGAACAGCAGGTCACCTCCTCTCCCCGAAACCCAGAGCTGCGCCTCCATAATGAACC